AAACTGGCAGACAGTGTTGTAGATTTCTGTTGATGCGCCTGAGCATCCCTGACGGGTACCATTGGAAGGTGTTGGTAAGGCGGGACACGTGACAACTGAACAAGGAAATATGTATTGGACATTTATCCATCTGGTTAGTAGCCTGTGAGCCCGGGGGAAGGGGTACTTTAGGAATTTTAGGGGACTCTGTAACCCTTAGCCTATGCCAGAGCTAGTTCAGCAGAATTTTCCAACCCTATACCAGACTAAACTCCCCAAATCCCCCCTATCCTAGAGTAGCTGTTTTCCAGGAACTACTGAGGTCACTAGTACAGTCTAGCCAAAACAAAACCGATTTGATTTTTTCATATTTTTGAGGGGAAATTCCCGGTTTTCCTAGTCTAGACTAAAAACTTCAACCAATTGAACAGTTTCCTGGAAAAATGATGCCCTATTCTAGACCCAAACGTTCTGGTTTATAAACCCTATACCAGATTAAACTGCTTGAAACCCCTTCACAGCGACACATACCCATATCGCCTTTTCTAATTTTTTTATTGTTTCAGTTTACCCCATCCCCTTGTGCCTTTCCAGCACTTCTCTCTTTTGCCTAAGAGGAAAGGGAAACCACTGCCAGCTATGCGGGCTATCTATCAGGTTAACACATATTTTTTCTACCCATTTTGCGGAAGCCAGAAATCTCTGTAAAGACGCTTTTATATCATTTTTTCACTTCGATCATTGTTAGACAACTAACGTAGATGTTGTTGGATGTATTGCAGAGTTTTAAGCCTTTAGCAACCGCTTGTTTCAATTTTACTACTTCTTGAATGGCTCTGTAAGAGGACGAACTAAGTTGCGGGGATTCCTAACCTTCTACTCTGTAAATTATGTTACCTCGACTTACCAGTGCAATGTGTTTGTACTCCAGTCCAACTACCATCGCCTTGGCAAGTCCTGGTGTTTGCTCCGCTCAGCAAATATCCCTGGTCACATGAGAATACACAGGATTGCCCCGGTAAATTGGAACAAGGCAGCAAACTACCATGCACAGGTGCAAACAGTTGGGGACAGCGGTTCACTATTTAATGAAGAAAGGAAAACGCTTGAATAAATTCCAACTCCAAAGACCCTTCTACTTTCGTCACCTGTGATCTAGGGCCCTCTTTTCTGAGTACTGGGTGTGTTTCTCAATGCGTCAGAGGTTGAAACACTGCCTTCCTTGTAATATCCATGCAGACTACTAATGATAGTCTTTACGCTAGAGCCTAAATAAGCTAAGAAATATTTCAAGACAAGTAAATTTTAATTACTTCAAGTAAAATAAAGCTTCACGCACAACCGGTTCTTTTTTACTTCAGGTTAACTTAAGGCTATTTTCCCACGCAAAATAATTAAGATTGATTGACATGTTTCGCCTTTCTCAAAGCTCAAGAAACCGCAAGTAACCGCAAGTCAGCTAAGTCGGTTTTAAGGATGGTTTTCAAGTCGCTTGAAACTTTCTTGAATCGTTTCAACTCTCCGACTTTAATAAGATGTAAAGTAAAGTTACTTGAGATTTTACTTTGGCCTTCACACACGAATTTTTGGTTAAGTAAAACTTAGCAGCTCTTAAGTCTTACTTAACAGCCTCGTGTAAACACAACTAATATTCAAGCATGCTTTCAAGGAAAAGTGGAGGAAATAACTGATAAGAGTGGAAACAAAAGGCCATATTCCGAGTTGCGTCAAGCCTCTGTTTCAAAGTGAGGCTAAGTGCGAAGCCATTGATATTTAACTGAGTTTTTAATTTCATGCAAAAGAAAGGTTTTGCACTTAGCCTCGTTTTAGAAGTGAGAGTCTTTGGAACTCGGAAATGGCCTATTTAGACTGCCACTTTCGGCACCAGGGTCCCAGGAAACACGCACTCAACCTTTTTGCCAGGAAGGACTGTTTTAATTTCTCTGAATTTAGTCAGAGGGCGAATGTAGCGGACAGAATAACATTTTGTTGTCGTTTTTTTTCCTCGATTCTCAACTCCCAATGTTACAGAATTGTCAGTAAGCAAAAAGCTTTAAGTCATCTTAGTACTATAAAAGCACTCACATGAAACTAGAAAACCGAGATTAGAAATAACGACACTTTCAATATAATTCCCCCGTGGTAGAATTAAATGAACATATCCCCTGCACTCAAGACAAACTGCATGTTAATCAAGTCTATCACAATGTTTTAAAACAGTACAGAGCTGCTGGGGGATTGCGCAAAAAAAAAGAAAAAGATGAATAAGAAAACCTTAAAAAACACTAGTCTTTTTCGAGATCATAACTCCTACCTCCTTGACAGGTCGTCGAGTCACCAGGTATCAAATGCACCCCTTCCGGGCAGAAACACTGATGACCGTTTGGGTTTGGCAGGCAAATGTGGCTGCATCCTCCATTTAAATGAGAACAGCTGGTAGTTCCTGTGTAGGCAACATGTAGACGGGCGTGCATTCAGGGTAAAAAAAATAGTGGCCATTGGACCGGCTAGAATTTTTTACAGCGAAGATAAGGCTTGGTAAAACTTGGACAACAGCAAAGAAATGTCAACTAAAACCCTTTCCTTTGACAATTGCAAAAAAACAAAACTTTTAAGAAGAGACCCTTTATTTGTTATATATCGATACTTATAGCGCTTTAGAAACTTCGCTCAAAAACAAAAAATGTAACTGTCAAAAAAGTATACGGTAAAGCAGATAGCTTTATCAAACAAGTGCTAACTTCATAGAGTTATTAGAAATGGTATTTGTTGCTGAATTGATGAAAATTGTTTGTTTGTTTATTTGTTTTCTCCTTTTTATATTAAGTGTACTCTGTTAAATGAAAGTTTCAAATAAAATTTATAAATTAAAAAGAAAAAAAATGAATTCACAACATCAAAATTTCTAAGGAACACCCACCCGAAGTTATGATATTATAGTCATAGATGTGGATTTCCATAGGTGTTCCCATTCCATGGACCAAGACATCGGAGAGGGAAGACGTCATATTATATCTATGAACACTTTTTGTAGTCCAGTCTGTCCAGAAAAGCACGTCCTCGTATAAGGCGAGTCCGAAAGGGTGATAACTATCGTTATTGGATGACAAATCCAGTATCAGCACGCGGTTATTTCCTTGAAGGTCCACTCTTTCGATTCTGTCGAGTTGTGCATCACACCAGTACAGCAGCCTATTTTTGAAATCCAAAGCGAGTGAGTTCACCCAAGACAAACCGGAACTAACCAGAACGGTTCTAGCCGTGCCATCCATGTTCGCTTGTTCGATCTTTGGTGAGGATCCCCAATCGCTCCAGTACATCTTTCTATAATAAAAATCAAGACAGAAAACAGAGATCAAAAGAGGGATAAAAAATAAAGCGAAAATGTCTTAAAACGGCATTGAGAAACAAGTTTTTCTCTTATATTGATTTCTGCGGCCATTAGTTACGGATTTTAGAGTTGAGAAGATTGTAGGGTTCCTAGAACAATATATTCATCAGCCACTTTGATCAAAATTTACTAGATTACTTGTCATCGATGTCTAATATCACAGCCCTAGGTTTGTCAACGTTTATTTCTGCTGTAAGGCTTGTTCTGTACGATCCGTCAATATTAAACTGAATGGACACTACATGCTGTGAAAATTTGTTATAAGTTTGTTAAAATCATGGCTTTCACATGTAAGCACAGCCTTTGCTACTTTATGAGACCTGTAGGGGCTCAAGTCAAATGGATTTTCGGATAAATAGCAGAGCCCACTTTTTTTGAGAGATTTTTCAAGACAAGGGGACAAAACAGACAGTATTCCGTATAAGTTTAAAGTGCTTCCTCACAAAACCGGAACATCTTTTTAACATGTTTCCATTGACTCAAATATATCTTTTAAGTTGTATTCCTCATTATATTATCTTTGTTACCTAGCATCTATGTCAAGTATCAGAGCTCTAGGATTGTCCAAACCAGATGTAATGAGGCTAAATCTGTATGATCCGTCCAATCGTGACACTTCAATCTTACTAGTTTGATAATCAGTCCAATAAACATTTCGCTCAATCCAGTCGACTGCTATTCCATCAGGATTTTCCACATTACTCTCCGCTATTACTTCAAGATCCGAACCATTGGGATAAGATCTAACAATCTGCTTCAATACCACGTCAGTCCAGTAAACCTTGCCTTCAATCGGATCATAATCAACTGCAACTGGTCTGGATATGTTGGTTTTGATCCCTAGAGGAAAGCAAGGAGTGTCTGGTACAGCCAGAGGAACTTTGTAAATTTGCCCGCTATTTGCTTCAGCAAAAAGCATGAACTTGTCGGAGCTTAGGTTCCTAAATAAATCTGAAAAAAAGAAGTGAAGGTCGGACAATCACAGGAGAGTTAGTATCCTATAATTTTCAGCACATTCATGACTATTTCTTTCCTACATTTTGCAGAACAAAAAGCAGTTAAGGAAACATGTGCTACAAGCGCACTACCAAAACCAATCATATGCTCTTACCATAATTACAGTTTTTCCCATCAGGTTTGAGGACTACTCCAGTTGGACATGCGCACTGGTGACCTCCTTGCGGCGTAAGCAAGCACAAGTCACTGCAGTTTCCATTGTCGATTGTACACGGATGAGACCCTGATAAAGTTAGAGTTAATTAGGTGCCACCAGAATTCAGACTAGATATGTAAAAAAAGTTCGAATTTATCTTTTTATTAAGTACCACCATATTTAATTGAAAAAAATTGTCAACACTGTTTAAAATAGTATGAGGTGCCGTTTCATTATAATAGTAGGGAGCTTTAGCAACGACGACGGCAACGGCAACGAGGACGTCAAAAACGCGATAGGTTTATATTAGCAGAACAACAACTTTGCACGTGCATCACGCTTTTTTGTACATTTCTTCGCCGTCCTTGCACGACTACGACATGAAAATGCCTAATTGCAAGTTTTATGGAGGACGTAAACAAGCGACGACGAATCTCTTTCTAGTCTCTCTAAGCTTGAGGGCGGTCCTCAAGAAATCAACTCCAGGGAAATTCGCCTACATTGCCATTTTCAGCAAATTGGAATAAACGCCACAAAGATTGAAAAAACGGGAATTCATTTTAAAACTGACGTTTTCGCTGCCGTTGCCGTCGTCGATGCTAAAGCTCCCTCGGGTTGCTAGTGACGGGTTTCAGGGGCGGATCCAGGATTTTTTTTAGGAGGGGGTGCACTCGTCTGTTGCTCTACTTCAACACCAATAAACCACATATTTTTTTTTTTGCAGAATACCAGTTGTATTAGAAAACCGCAGGTCATCTCGGGAGGCGGGGGGTGCGCACCCCCTGCACCCTCCCCATAGATCCGCCCCTGGGTTTTATTAAGTAAAATGATTTACCTGAAAACACCTGAGACGAATCGTACAGGTGAATATCCATTGGCTTTTCGAGACCTTGAATAATCAACTCCGTGTTCCCATTGTTTAAATCGTACCGCGAAATGCTTTTATTGTTCCAGTCAGTCCAGTACAAAATGCTCTTATACACTGTCAAACCAAACGGGTGAATATCTGCTGCAGATAGCATAATAACTCTTCTGTTATCACCGTTAAGGTCAGATACCTCGATTTTGTCCAGTTTAGCATCCGCCCAGTACAGGAGGTTTGTAGTTTGATCAATAGTTAATCCATTTGGCCAACCAAGGTTTCCTGTCACAATGGTTCGTCTTGATGAGCCGTCCATGGCTGCTTGTTCAATCATTGGATTGGATCCCCAGTCAGACCAATACATCGTTCTTTATCACAAAAAAAAAACACACACGCACAAATTAGCAATATTTAAAAGAACTACCAAGATAAAATTTATTTTTTTGATAACGCTTACTTTGACATTTCGTGCACCTAAGATGAATTGGCTTCAACTTAAAGGAAAGTCTAAGTACAGCCGTATACTTACTTCCTAGTCTTCCTCACAGCCTTTTTTGTCTTGTCACGCAACGCTCCTCCCCTCGTGACATAGCCCTTTTAAGATTTGTATTGAAAAGCGTTGTCTGACGAGACAAAAGCGGCTGCGAGGAAGACCAGCTATATCGCGATACTCCCTTTCGATTTATAACTCACCCATTTCTTTCATCAAGTACAATTGCCCTGGGTTCATCAAGTCCATCTTTGATCAACAATTTCCTGCTTGTCCCATCCAGCCGAGCAACTTCAATACGATTTGTTCCTGTGTCTGTCCAGTAAATATTTTGCCCCACGTGGTCAATGGCCAGGCCATCTGGCACCTTTACATTGCAGCGAAAAGGGATCCTCAGTGAAGTCGCATTAGAGATAGCACTGATAATTAGACCTTGTGCAACATCAGTCCAGTATACGCGGTCCTCAACAGGGTCGTAGTCCACAGCAATCGGGCGTTGATTTCCGAGATGGAAGAACAAACGTCGGGCAACAAAATAGTTCACATCCAACGAAATAATATTAGTAGACTTGGCATCGGCGTCCGTAAAAACAAGGAACTTGTCCGTTTCTGTAAAGTGCAACACACTTAAAATGACTTAGTTGTACAGTAAACATGACAATTTATGCCAGAAAAAGGTAATAGATTTGGGCAAGGCGATATTGGGCAAGTCGTAAGTGAATTGTTATCCCAATGTTTCTATAGGGGTTCCCTGACACTATTTTGTAATTAAAGGTTATTGAGCCACTGATTGGATGGCTCTGGCTGAGAAACGTTTTGGAGGTTAGGATAGCTGGTCGCTGATCATGGAGGTGATCTCTTCGGAGGGCTGGCTGCACATAAAGGTTCCGTCGACTGTATCTTTAATCTACTTTTTTCTCTCTGGGGAAAATATGTACCTTAAAGAGACTGAGGGGTATTGCTCAAGTATTTAGCATGAGTATAGAAAGGAGAGAATACAGATATGTATTTCCTCTGTAGTCAAAACAGCTGCCTTACTCTTGTTGCATGTTTTTCCATCTGCCTTCAATGACAAACCAACTGGACAGACACACTCGTGGCCGCCAGAAGTCTTCACTACGCAAAAATGGCTGCAGCCGCCGTTGTTTGTTGCGCAAGAACTGGAAACTTTAAAACAAAAACGTGAAAACCAACATTCATCATCATCATCAGTGCAACATATATTCGTTGACCTAAAAGTAACTAAACAACCTGTCGAACCGGTTAAACCACCGCTGAAAAAAGAACGTCAACGTAAAGTTATCTTGATGAGATTCCACTGCATTTTATTCATGAGATAAAGGTAAAAGACTAAGAAATCATCGACGTAAACGTGTTACTCTGCAAAGTAATAATGAGATTACTCGGCAAAAAAAAATTGGAGTACTAGTGCGCCCTATACCACTATTTTACGGCATACCTGGAGGTTGCCTGGAACTGTCGTATGCCACAATGCCCATGGGCCTACCAGTGAAGCGGACACCGCTGACAACAAAGTACCCGGTCTCCGCGTCAACTTGATGAAACTGACCGTTTGAAGCCCAGTCAGTGAAAAAGAGAAAAGGAGGAATAATGGCTACTCCAAAACCATGAAAATTTGTTACAGTCGCAAGCAGTCTTCTGTCATTGCCATCGTAATCGACAGATTCTAATTGATCCACGGCTCCATCTACCCAATAAATACGATTATTCCATCTGTCAAGCTCGATCCCATTCGGCCAATGGATGTTTGACGTTACTATGGCAACTCTCTGATTCCCTGTTAAGGATGCTTTTTCGATTTTGGGGCTGGAACCCCAGTCTGTCCAAATCATCAGCCTGTCACAGTAATTTGTAAAAAACAAGAGAGAATGAGCTAACTTAGATCATTCTCTCTTGTAAAAAAGTAGTCGGCTTCTAGAATAAAGTGTTACGTCAAACTACTTGTTATAAATAAAAACTTAGACAGGAAAAAAGGTCTCTAAAAGTTGTCATAATTATCCATCAGTTCTAAAAAAGTATTTATAATTTCGAGTGGAGATAAACAGAGGTCACACGTAGGAATTATATTATATTCGAGGGGGCTTATGTACGGAGGGGCATTTGCGTTTCAAAATCAAATTTCAAATTGCGTTAGCTTATAGAGGGAAGGAAATTTACCTTTTTTGCTTTGTTTTACTTTGTATTTGAGGGCAAGTTCCAAGTACAAGCCCCCCCGGGGGGTGGGGCTTATATTTGGAGGGGCCTAAATTGTCTCCCATTTTGGGGGGCTTATATTTGGAGGGGGTTAAACATGGAGGGGCTTATTTTCGGAATTTTTTTGGTGATAAAAAAAAAAACTTTGTGGCCACTCACCCCTTATCAGGATCCAAAGCGATATCTCTAGGTTCATCAAGTCCCAAGGATAGCACAGTTTGCTGGTTATTGCCCGATAGGTCAGATTTGGATATCGTATCGTGTGTAGTGTCACTCCAGTACAATTCTGATGTCGTCCATTGAACTGCCAATCCATCACAAACACCAATATTGGTGATAATTGTGGTGATACTGGAACCGTCAATACCAGAACGTTTGATGTTCTGCTCAGATACATCACTCCAAAAAATATATCCCATGCTGAAATGAACATCGAGTGCCACAGCCCTGGTTAATCCAGTGACCACAGAATGTACTGCAGACGTTTTGTAGTCAACGGCGATGATATCCGTAGTGTTTGAAAACAGAAGACATGGAGGGGTACATATGGCCGCTGCAATAAAAACAATCAACATTACTATTGACTATTATTATTATATCGCTTAGTTAGTACGCGCGCTGAGATTGGTCAATTTTGCGGGCCTTATTCTACTGTACAGCCCGCTAAATTTTTAAGTTTCCTTCCCTCACGCCCAATTAACCTCAGAGATATAATAAATATCTTACTAATCTCGTTTTTCTAGGTCCGTGCTGTATGTTATGGATCCTAGTTTTTTTGCCCTTACAGCACGGGCCTCGACTCGGTCAGTAAGAGGTATTTAGACTACTGCAGTATGTTATCCCTTTAAGAAAAGAAAAAGAAAAGTCTCATTTCTACAGCTAATTGAAAAAGATGAAACATTCAAGGGAATTTGTCTTAACGAAATCGTTCAAAGTAGCAGATTTGAGGTAAAACAAAATGAATCACCCAAGGGCCTGATCTACTTCTCCCCTACATATATGTACGATTGCCGGTTAAAGGGTTAAAGTAATTGCAGTTTAGTTGTAATGTAATCTTCCAACCAAAATAAACTTCAAGGGACTATGTCACGATATTTGCTATCTTTTTAAAGAGCGAATAGATTCCAAAAATAGTTGACCGGTTTTGTCATATATTCTGTTTATCAAGGCATTGAATCTATCGTCCGTTACTACGGATGGCAAGGATGAACATGAATTGAAATTTTTTAAAAAAATTGAGCCAAGTTTTTCAAGTTTTAATGCTATCCCTGCATAAATCACCAATAATGCTCTCTGGTAAAATTCACATAACAGTCTACAGAAGCATTTTGTGTATGGTTTTACACACTGAGTAATGAATTTAGCACAGAATTGACGTTGGACAGCAATATCCTCGTGTGACATAGCCCCTCTTCGTTTTTCACCTACTAAGAAGCGCGAGTCCGATTCCGCCTTAGGGTCACTGGCGAGGCTGGTAAACCGACAGACTCGCTCCACTCAAAGACCACATGTTTCAGTAAGGTGAACACTAAGAAGGAATTTATCAGGCCAAGGTACTCTTAATCAAATGATGCTACAATCTGTCAGTCCTGTTTTAAACGTGCTATAGAATTGACATAACAAGGCCAAAGAAGAAAACATGGCGTCTTATGGGTACCAACTGTCACCACACAAATAACTACAAATGCTCTAGCAACCCCCCTCCCCCCACACATTCTAGCGTGACGTAAGGGTTGCGATCACGATGCTGCTTTTGCAAGGACTAATGAGGCGGTTTGGCTGTTTGAGAGCGGCATTTTGATTACGTTTTTATTTATACAGCTTTCGTAACTTCTTCAGTTATATGCCCCCCCCCCCCCCCCCCCCCCCTTAATGAGTATATGTAATAAAACAAAAAAAACAAGTCTTTTTTTTTTCTCTTCTACTTTGGCAGATTTAATGTAGTTAATTATACAGAAGGAATAGGGCTAAGAGAATAAAAAAATTATTTTCTCATTCTCACAGGGGGGGGTGAAGGGTGGGATTCCCATTGTGCTTTTTCAAAGGGTAATTGGGGGGTTTTGGGTTTTTGGGGCGGGATTTTTTTTATTTTTTTTTTTTTACAACTTTTTTTAATTTTTTTGGTATTTTCCCCCCCCCCCCCCCTATCTCAATATTGGAGATCTTATCAAATCAATGCAATGATCTGAATCTTCTTTTCTACATCAGTGCTTGGAGCAAATATGTTAGACTGAGCATTGAGAAAGAGGCCAATAATTAATCAAATATTTTTACCTCCATGACCTCTTGCAGTTCTTTCCAGGATCAGAGTTATCAGAGCAAACGCAGCTATCCACTTGAAATGACTTCCAACAGGACTCATTATGAGTGAAATCAAAACCGTAAAGACTGAAGGAACCATAAAACACAAGGAAACGTTAGAAATGCACAATCAATACACTCCCTTGTAAATGTTAACTACTTGCAGTTTGTTTCTTCAGCTTCAGTTTGGGTAAGGTAGAAAATGGCGCAGATTCTTTTTACTACAAGGGGGAACCATTAACAGTTCATTGATCCAGTGCAAATTAAATTGTAGACAAACAGACAGAAAACTTCAATCTCATCACCCATGCGCATGAGCGACGCTTCTATAGCAGAATTACACTGTGACAAACTCGAAACCTTTGGGTATATTTCCGTGTTAAACTGTATTTACATTAAGAATACAACCTAAGAGATCATGATCTGTTGACAGCCTTAATCATTGACTTACTCAATACGCACCGGCAAGCGCAGACATGCTTGACTGTCAAAAGGTTACGATACATAGACCGGCGACTAAGAACCTGGTTATTAAGAACGGCTATTAGGCTAAAACTTGCCGGTTAGGTCCCCTCTATACAAGAACCTGTTTAGTCTTAAATTGGAAACAGGTCCTTATCTTCTAAAATCCACAAAAAGAATTCTTTACACTTGGGCGAATAAGATACGTCAACACAGATCGTCGTTGGAGACAATAGGTGCCTTATTACTCCAACTATTGGGAATGAGCTTAATACCACTAAATACTCTTAGCTACAAAGTATTTTTGTTACCATTTATGTAAGACCCTGTTTACGCTAACTTGGGAAAATGCGTATTGTTACGGTTTTCAACAAACCTTCTAGTTGAAAAGAGGTGTTGTCCGGTGAAAGCCTTGTAAGAATTTTAAATAGACGACCACATGAACTTAAGAACTATACGGCTGAATATTAAAGCATTTACAAAAGCTAAACTAGATTACTTTCGGTTTCGTCTTGAAGGGACTGTTCAGGGTACTTACCCGGGTTTGTGTAATTGTTATTTAAAACAACTCAAAAATGTATTAGAAGCTTTGATTATTCTGAATGGACCTGTTTACTCAAACTAAACATCGAAACAGCAGCGTGAAACAGCATCGGCATCGAAACAAGACGCCGAAAGAACTACTTTTAATCTTCTTAGCACAAAACAACGAAACAGACAGGTTATATATACCAATCTTTTAGTGATTAGTCCTTTCCATATCTTCCATGACTCAGTACTTGCTTAGTGGCCTTGTTTATTTAATTTAACTTCCGCTGCGAACACTTTGCAGTCATTGCACTGTAAACTAATTTTCCTGCCACGATAGACGAGAAAATATTTTTTCGTTTCAGACCAGAATTTGCATATTTCAACCCACTCTTCATTTTCGCGATTTGCTTTCATAATTGTTTCGTTTCAGTTACTTTGCATCGCAATTTCTGTTTTGCTCTTCGCTGAAAAAAATCGTGGTGGCCCCCACCCCCCTCCCCCGTTAACGTTACCTGCAATTGTGGCTTCATATTTCGTCGGTGCAAATTCAAATCATTACAAAGTCACTGTTTGGTTGCAAACAAAAGACAAGGTTGGTTAAAATTAGAATTTTGAAATTAGGTAGCCACTCAAAAACAGATTATGTGACGTCTTCAATAATTCATATACAAGATTCATCACATACCTAAAAAACAACAATAAAAAAATACGAACTTTACGAGCCAATAAGACGGAGAACAGTTATTTTTTTTATTTCTGGTCAGAATTTGAATATTTCAACACGCTCTTTATTTTTCGCGATTTGCTTTGCTTCGTTTCAGAGACGTTGCATCGCAATTTCTGTTTTGTTCTTCGCTGAAAAATAGCATGGTGACCGCTCTGTGACCCCTTTTCAGCGCTGCAAACCAAACAAGAGAGTGCTAGAAGAATAATTTTTGACCCATACTACGAAAAATATTAACAAAAAGAAGCTGCAATTATGGCTTCATTCCATCAGTCCAAATTTAAATCATTGCAAAGTCCCCGTTTGGTTGTAACAAAAGGTAAGGCAGGTTAAAATTTGAATTTTGAAATAAGATAGCCGCTCAAAAATAGGTTATGTAACGTCTTCCATAATTCATATACAAGATTTATCGTATTCCTAATAAACAACAATAAAAAAATACCAACTTTACGTCTTATGAATATCGGTTAGTTCTCTACTGCTATTGAGAATTACTATTACAACTAATATACTTACATCAGTATCCTTAATACGATGGAATAACATTATTTATGGCGTTCACTTCCTTGTCGCGCTTTCTCAATTCCGCGGCCCGCTATCTCGGAGGCTGGAACAGGCTACTGCCGCACCCTCTAAATTCGGGGAAATTGGATCCCTAGGCCTTTCGAAGTAGGGGGTTAGCCCATCCGCATTCCCGGATTCATTACAATAGGGGGCGTCAATCCTAATGAATTTAAAACAAAGGAGAATCAAAAGTTAACGGAGATAAGAAAAATTATTTGCATGACTTTAAAACCAACACACATCGCTAATTCACTCTGACTAGATTTCAGCCAGTATGAAGAACAAACATCTTTTGCCTCTCTACCGATTGTTGGCTGTTTCTTTGGTTCCTATTCTTTTTTTCAAATTGAATTCTGTGGAGGGATGTGGTGGCTGTGGACCTTGTAAGTAGCTAGCTTATGTCGAGAGTTCAAATTTATCAATTTATCTCATCGTCATGTAAGCTGTTTCATCCAAACGTAGACCTTTCTTTCTAACACTTCGATGCTGTTCCCGCTTGAACATACATTTCTAGGGCTTTAGAAAATACATAATTTCTAATATCTCTTTAAAATTAGAAAAGAAGACTTAGTTGGCAAAGACAGCGTCTCGAGCCGATAACAACTCCCTGGTTTAGTCCCCTTTCATGTGACGTTTTTATATCGGGATGCACCTCTCAATCAAGTCTTGATTGCCTTCTTAAGACATTTCCTACGTATCAAGATTGGTAGAGACCACATACAACTTTATCTAACCTCAACTTAAAGATTTCCTGCCTGTCAGCCAATAGATCCAGGCTGTGCCGAGAGAAAGGCCTGCGCTTAACTCTATCAGGATTTCACTGATAAATTCGTAAGATCCTTTTTATTGATGGAGGAACTGTGTATGTCATCAAATAAGGTGAAACTAGCAAATTTTCGTTAGTCTTGAAAGTACATTATTACAACTTAAAAGTTGAAATTTTCATTGTCTTAAATAGGCGGACGTTAGCTGAAAATGTAGAAAGGGTATTTC